TGACGTCATACGTCAGATACGTCACTTCCGGCCGCACGCATTGGCGCCATACACGCTGACCATCAGGGAAGTCAGCCATACACGCTGGCCAAGAGCGGTGCAAGGCTGTACAAGCGCCAAGGCGGGAGAGGAGCCCACTGAATAACAGTCCCAATGGTGGCGGCTGCCTCCGGGACTGCGCTTGGTCTTTCAGACGAGGGAAACTCTGCAAGAGTATCACCTATGGCTTGGATGGTGAGTGAACTGCTGCACAGATAATCGGAAATAAGGCGCAAGTTCGCCATTACATATTCACTACAAGGAACATATTTACTGACTGTCCATATGTCACCTATTTGTTACAGGATGGGGACAGCCTGTCTTATTATATAAAGGTGCATGGCACCCTGCATTTATTACAAGGCACGGTGGATCCAGCATTTTGCATTTCTACATCAAAATTAAGGTGGTTATATAGCCCACATGTTGCGGTGAAGAAACCCCTTAAAGCAGGGAATGCGAGACAGCTCCCTGGACAATTACTTGAATGATCTTGCCATGACCATGTTTGTCTTGAACCTTGAGCTCTTTGCTCTTCCTATGAACTTCCTGATTTAAGCTATGTCTCTGCAGTTCCTGTTTGCCAGATTATTGTGCTCTCTTCAGCCAGTATCTCATTCGTCTTCTCTGCTGCTGACCATATTTTGCTCGCTTGTTATCAATCCTTGGCTTGTTCCTCGACTACGCTTCTGGACCCCCGCTGGGGGTGCAATCCTGAGAACCACGACCTGGTGCTAAGCATAATCCGTCTCTCCCATCAGGAGCTCAGGTGAACACTGGTTAGTACTTAGACTCCACACACACGGTGAACCTGCGCCATCTGTTACTACTCTTAGCTACTAGTCTTAGAGCCTGACACCTGATAGTGACAGGTTGTATGGAGCCTGATCATGATAGCCATGCAGTGACTGGATTTGTTGCAATTGGAAAGATGAGCCAGTGTCAGAAATCCTATCCCCGATCCAACTGTCAGAACTGGTCCATTTAAACCCTGGCCATTTGAGAAGGCAGAAGTATCCTCAGGGCTGAGGAGGGAACACCCTTAGGGTTGTTTGCCAAGTTCAGCCTACATCCATATCTAAATAAACTGAGGAGCATGAGGTATGGATGGGGTGATTCATATGTAGCCCGTTATAAACAAGGTGAATTGGTGGACCTCATTGTGCTCGTCAGCAGGATAAACAATACTGCCAGAACTGTAAAACTTTATTTCTGCTTTTATCCCAATAGCCATAATCTGTATGTCCTTTTGTATTTTTTTTCCTCTTTGTACATATTATATGCACTGCTCACCTTTGGAATATTACATTTTAAAATAATAAGTGGCTTCTGTGTACTAAGCTAGGACTAATTTCCCTAGAGATTGTTGCAATGTAGTGTATGTGTGCTTGGTCTAAGCTTCTTGTTAATCTGTATGCAATTGCATTGTGCGTTGACAGATTCCATGCAGATTGTGAACTACAAGACAGAAATTTGTGTGTTTATGTGTGTGTGTGTGTGTGTGTGTGTGTGTATGGTTTCCTAGCGTCTAGTGACACACTGGAATGTCCTCAACAGGAATGGTCAATTATTTGTTAAGGCATGCAACAGCAGGATCAACAGTGGTAACAGCCCACCTTTTAATTAGTGCCTCCTCAGTAGGGTATTGGCCAGCAAAATGCTTGGAAGGAGAGAAAAATGCTTTTCAGGAGTAGACTAGTCACCATACAAAACAAGTTGCAGTAGTGGGAAGGTTTTGAAAGGATCAGGGACTTTAAAGGGAGCCCAGACTGGTAACCTTAGATAATTCTGATGCTGGTCATTTTACATTCCACAGTCATGTGCCTGGCAGCCACAGGATAGAACTGGGCAGTGCAATAACAGACAGCATGCAACAAATGTTAAAACAGCTGCAGCCCTGTAAAAAAAATTGTCTGCTCCAAAGAAAGAGTTTCCAAGCTTAACCCCTAGTGTGGAACGGCAGGAGAAATGAACGCATGCCAGGCTCCATTAAAACGGAAATAAACCTACAGGAATTAGATACAGTGGCGGTCTGGAGAGTGCCCTGAAACACAGCAAGCTAGTACTGGAAAGTGACACTCACATTCTAGGCAGTCTTTAGCCCTTTAGGTAGGCACACCCCTAAGGGAGTCTTTAGGAACAGGATTACACCAGTGGGTGTATCACAGCCCTAGACCTAGAAAAAGCTCTGAAAGAAGAAATCGTGGTAAAAAAAAGAAGAGTCAAGGAAAACTGTTTCGCTTTTCTCTAAGGAGAAAAAGATGTCCATTCTCCCAAGATACTAACTAGCAAGAAACTGAAGCATGGTTAACAGCTTTCTTGTTTACCATATCTCCTGCAGCAATATGACCTAGTTGTCACAGAAGTGCTTATGGCACTATGGGGTCAGTTCAATAACAATGTTTCAAATGCTATATTTGTGTTTTTTAGACCTATCGCATGCAAAAGTCAATGCATCAAAATAAAATAATTAATGAGATAAATACTGCACATTTGGTAAATATGTGAGGTAAATACTGCTAAAAAATGATTGCGATAAATCATTAAAGTGTTACTAAACCCAGGACTCTGCATTCACTATATCTGGTCTCCCATAGGACACACAACATGGAAACGCAATTATTTTAGTAAATAGAAACTGCTAAATACCTTTTCTCATCAGCAGTATATAGCAGTCTTATGACTTCTATCAGTGTCAAGCCAAGCACATTTTAAAGCTAGTAGGAGGGGATTTCATTCTGCTCTAGGAAGATACAGAATCTCTGACCTATGCCTGGACAGTGCTGACTGGCCCTGTGCTGATCATAAGCACTCTTACAAGAAAAAAAAAAAATCTCTAGTAATACACACCAAACTGAGCAAGTGCAGAGTGACTCCACACGATATGTCTTATCAGGAGATAAGAGGGATAAACTGGAAGAAGGGGAGGATCAGAGAAGTCAGGATCAAACAGCGTTTTTATACAATGCAGAGAATTAACCCGTTAGGTTCCACAATGAGTATAACAAGAATGCTTTACTGCATATACAGACTGATTTTACTGTTGTGGGTTTAGTAACACTTTAAAGTCAATCCAGTAAACATGATGCAAGCAGTAGATTATGAATGTACAAAACAACAATGAAGGGTAGGCCTCATTCACACAGGGCGTACTAAACCGTATGTCTGTGGAAGTGAAAGAAAAATTATGCCTGCTTGCATTTATATATTATATAGATATATAGATTAAAGATATTTAAGCACTACTGAAAAATAAGCTGTCTATACTGGCATTCCTCAGTGTTGCAAAGACTGCTTATAATCTCACCTACCTGAAGGTAGCTTCTGTCCCTACAGCATAATCTAGAATCGCAGTTTCTTCATCAGCAGCTCTGCAGTCTTCCTGTATATGGAATCCGCTTTCTTATCCTAACAATAGAAAATATTCAAATCTGTAATAACACACCCAGTGGACCGTGCACACAACTGTCACAGGTGTAATTCTTTCCTGTACATGTCTGGCTAACGAGTCACAAGGGTTTTCCAGCTACAGCATTTTACTACTGTATACCAACAATCTAAAGCGGGCAGAGAAAAACAAGAAATTTAAAGGAATACTACCAGGCAATCTGATTAGCTTCACTGATTAATTTATTTCCACTCCCCTGTCTGTTTTTCTAATGACCTTAATAACAGTTGTTTTTTAGACCTGGTTTTAAACCATGGAACAAAAAACTGACACCCCTTACGCTGCAGAATTGCGCTGAAAAGACAACGCACTCCGTGAACTGTGCCCCCCTCTAAAATCAGTCAATACTGTGCTGATGCTGAAAAAACATGCCCACATACAATCACTGCCATACTGACTATGCAAAAAAAAAAAAAAAAACAAGTCCATAGATATACAAAAACAAGTCAACAGATAAACACCCAGCATACCTGAAAACCTTTGAAAATCCATGGGCCTGAGAATGGGAGTGGGACAAAGGGTGGAGTAGCCGATCAGGCTAAAAGCTAGTAGGTGAACACTTTTACAAGGCACTATATATTGCTAACATAGAGGTAATAGTTATTTTCAAACACAATGTTGATATAATAGTACAGTATTTAGTATAGTACAGTGAAGGAAATAAGTATTAGATCCCCTGCTGATTTTTTTTTTTTTTTCCAAAAATAATTTTATTGGAAAAGTTAAGGCAGATCAATGTACATACAAATATGGATTACAGTCCGAACATAGATACAATATGCAGCCTTCTGTTTCGCAGACGGGCTATGGGTTTGAATTGTAGTACAAATCGAGGTGAGGTATATCTTTATATCAAAGGTGTATAGCAAACTAGCAGGTACAAAGAGTGTAATAGATAAATCGTTATAGGTATATTAGCGGATTTTGAATGTTTGCCCACTCACAAAGAAATGATCAGTCTAAAAATCGAATAGTAAGTGTATTGTAACACTGAGAGACAGAATAGCAAGAAAAAATTCAAAAGAAATGCATGTCTAACAAATTATGAACTGATTTGCATGTTCATGAGGGAAATACGTATTTGATCCCCTATCATTCAGCAGGATTTCTGGCTACCAGGTGTCTTTCATACAGGTAACAAGCTTAGAAGCTTAGAGATTAGAAGCAGTCTCTTAAAGAGAGTGCTGCTAATCTCATTTTGTTACATGTATTAAAGACACCTGTCCACAGGAACAATCAAACAATCAGATTCCAAACTCTCCACCATGGCAAACACCAAAGAGCTGTCCAAGGATGACAGGGATAAGATTGTAGACCTACACAAGGCTGGACTGGGCTACCAAACTATTGCCAAGCAGCTTGGTGAGAAGGTGACAACAGTTGGTGCAATCATTCGCAAATGGAAGAAACACAAAACAACTGTCAGGTGACAGTATGTGAAAAAAAATTTATTTAATGTATACCGTATTTTTCGCTCCATAAGACACACTTTTTTCCCCCCAAAAAAGGGGGGAAAATGTCAGTGCGTCTTATGGAGCGAATATGGAGCGGCCGGTCCAGGATTTCCACTGCCGCCGTGTCAGAATACCGGGCCGGCCGCTCAGCTGTACAGCGGGACCTTATAGAGATGACTGCTGACCTTTGGGGAGGGAGGGGGAGCGGGTACCTGAATTTGACAGGTACCCGCTCCCACTTCCGTGGAGTTGTGCTTTCATCTTACCCGTTCCTCTATCCAGCGGCGCGGTCTTCCCGGCTTCTGTAGCGTGGGCATGACAGCCGGGTGCCAAGTGCGCATGCGCAAGAAGCGGTGCTTTTTGTGAATGGTAAGGCGGCACCTGGGACACATGACAGATCCCAGAAGCCGCCGGACCAATCACAAAGCGCAAGTGCTTCTCGCTCATGCGCACTGGGCACCCGGCTGTCATGCCGAGCGCCATTACAGAAGCCGGGAAGACAGCGCGCGGCTGGATAGAGGAACAGGTAAGATGAAAGAACAACTCCGCGGAAGTGGGAGCGGGTATCTGTCAAATTCAGGTACCCGCTCCCCCCCCCTCCCCAAAGGTCGCAGTCAGTCATCCCCTGTGCTGTTCGCAGTCTCTGTGTCCGCATCTCCTGTACTGTGTCCGCAGTCTCTGGTCATCTCCTGTACTGTGTCCGCAGTCTCTGGTCATCTCCTGTACTGTGTCCGCAGTCTCTGGTCATCTCCTGTACTGCAGTCTGTCATCTCCTGTACTGTGTCTGCAGTCCATTAGTTCAGAATTTTTTTTTTCCTGTTTTCTGCCTCTAAAACCTAGGTGCGCCTTATGGTCAGGTGCGTCTTATGGAGCGAAAAAAAAACGGTATATTTTTTTTGAGAAATCTGGGGTCTATCAGACTCTAGATATCTCCTCTGCTCATACATTATCTAATCTCACCAAGATTGGTGTAATCAGATGCTTTCCCAATTTACAAATGGCACTGTTTATGTCCTGTGAAACTGAAATGATGAAATGCCCGAAGCTTCCAGTTTCTCAGACTATAGAGATGATTGGCACTATTCTGGTCTCCAATCAGCTGTATGGTCAGCTGGCAGAAACACCGGCTGCATTCTCAGGTTCCCCCGATGGCACAGGACTGCCCGAGAAGGCCGTGGAAGCCAGCGGGGTGGTGGGCGGATGGAGTGGGGGGCATCTTCAGCTGCTTGTAAAAGCAATCCTGCAGCTAATTAGCCACTAGGATTGCTTTTACATGAATCATCTTGGTATAATCACTCAAAGTCCAGTGATGTACCAGTATGTCGCTGGTCCTTGTTGGGTGTATATGCTGTGTTCTTCTGTGGGCTGAATGAAAAAAAAAGAGAAGAAATCTCTGCCAGAAAAAGTGTGTGGTATGCCCACCCTTAGAATATCATGAATTGTGCCCAAAAATATTATAAAATATATATGCCGAAGCATAGGGGCCATCCACCCACTGGCCACCCCAGGCCCCCATGCTTCGGCATATATGCTCTTTTTTTTTAACTGCGGATGACAAATCTCATCCAACATCACCGCACACACCTACTTATGTATATTCTGAGAGCAAGACCCTGTTGCTGTCAGAATAAACAAGTCGGTGCTGCAGCTGAATGGCATTCTCATTTCTCAAGCAGGCCTTTCCCCCCTTTCTAAGACGGTTATTTACAAGCCATTGGGGGAAGTCCTGGCGATTAGGTCGTACAGTGTCATATGCGCCAATTCCAAGATTGTACAAAAGTCTAAATAGTGGTACACTTGAATAAAAATTGTCCACGTATAAGTGGTACCCAATATGAAAAAAGGACGACACCAAGTCCCAAACTATCTTGCCACTGCTCCCCATGTAGTCTGGGCATCTGGGGGGCTCCGCATAACTATCTTTTCCCTTGTAAATACAAAACTTATATGTATAGCCTGTTGCCCTCTCACAGGTATTACACATCTTGACCCCATATCTGGCACGCTTGCTGGGGAGAAATTGTTTGAATGCAAGGCGGCCAGAAAAATGAATGAGGGACTCATCAAAGCAGATGTTTTGCTGGGGAGTATAGACATCAGCAAATTTTTGGTTAATGTGATTTACGAGGGGCCGAATTTTGTGCAGCCGGTCAAATTCAGGGTCACCCGAGGACGACAGTATATTGTCGTTGAAATGCATAAAACACATTATACTCTCATATCTATGCCTGGCCATGGCAGCAGAGAACACGGGCATATGATGAATTGGGTCTGTGGACCAATACAACTGCAATTCATTTTTTTTTAGTAATGTCCATATTGAGGGTTAGGCCCAAAAAAACTTTAAATTCGGAAACCATAATGAGTTTCCAAGCGAAAGGTCTGGCAAGGTCTGAATTTGGGTTGGCGGCGATAAACTGTTTTGCATATAAATTGCGTGGTCCACAATCAATGCATACAGATCTTCCGTGAAAAAACGCTCCAAAAAATCAAGGGGAGTTGTTAAATTTGCGGTTTCCACTTGAATTCCGGGTTGGGCAGAGAATGGGGGAAGTACGGGTGCTGCAGAATTTGTGGGCTGCCAATTGAAATTTGCAAGCACATCCAGATGGATACTAGGGGCTCTACGGGCCTGTGTGCAAATTCTTGGTTGCTGCGGGACACCACTTGTTCTCGCCACCGCACCAGCTTGTACTGCACTTATGGGAATCGCCACATCACCAAGTGATACTGCAGTGCTGGTATGTGAAAGACCAAGATGTACTAGGCCGCTGGTGCTCGCCAGTTCACCAAAAGGTAGAGCAGCACTAGTACTGGCACTCTGCTGCATATGAGTCATCACAAGTTACCGGCAAGTGCTAGCAGAGATCAGGCCTGATTTTGCGAACACTGCGGTTTTGTGTGCAATGTATCAAGTGACAGTGACCTACTGACACTGCACTTGCTGGGGGAGAAGGGGAGGGGTAAGCATAGGGGCTAAATGCAGGTGCTGGCCGGAGCCGGGGCTGATCCTGCTAACGTTGCGTTTTTGGAGACACTAATGTGAACGCTGGTATAGTGCTGATCTAATCAAAGATACTGATCCGTTCAGACACTATACAAGCATTGGAGGTTTATTGTGCATGTGAGCATGTTCCTGGCAATCAAGGGGTTAAATGTGATTACTGGTGTACTGACGGATAATCTGACGCTATCTGGGAGGGGCACGAAAACCACGGGAGCGCGAGTCACTTATAAATATATGTGATTTTGAGCACCCATGCCACCCTGTAGCAGTATTTCTACTATAGGGTGGTGCGGAAGCGGTTAAACATGCCCAGTAAAAAAAATTTTAAAAATCAAATTTCGGCATAAATTTAGGCCAAAATGTATTCTGCTCCATGTCTTTGCTAAAAAATATCCCAATACGTGTAAATGAATTGGTTTACGTTAAAGTTATAGAGTTTACAAATGGCAGTATAGATAATGGAATTTTTTTTTACTAATAATGGCGGCGATCAACGACTTATAGTGGGCATTCTGACACTGGGGGGAACTTTGTGTCACTGACACAAAAAAAAAAAAAAAAAAAAAAAGCACTGACACTCTACTAATGGCACTGGACAGGAAGGGGTTAACATGAGGGGCGATCACAATTTAACTGTGTGCTGGGAGTGTTTTAATAGGGGGCGGGGGTGTATGCTTCACTGTAAGCGCACTGCTCTGGATGGCTGTGCACAGCCTTCCAAAACAGTGTGCCCAAGCCAACAGGGAGGATGGCTGTTAGTAAACAGAGCAGCCCTCCTCTCTGTCGGTGATTGTCGGTAAGCACCAGGCGCCGGCAGGTAATCACTGGCCGGGACCTGGTGATTGACAGCCGCGGCTGCAAAAGGTGGCACGGGAGGAGCGTTCGCCCCCTATCCGGAAATGCAAAATCACGTATATACATGTGATTTTGCGTTCCCGTGCCGCCCCGTAGCAGTTTTTCTGCTATAGGGCGGTCTGGAAGCGGTTAAAATAAATGGGTATTTTTTCATAACTCTGAGTGGCAGATTCAGAACATGGTTCTAAAGCAGGCCATACATGACTACGGGTTGCAGGAAAGAAAATCGTTCGATTCCCCATCAACACAGTCAGTTCTGTCCCACAGCACTATTGTGTTCTCCTGGCATGCAGCCTTCCGGGCCAGAGGAACACAATGATTACTGCTAGTGTATATAGCCACCGGCAGTAATCGCATGTAAAAAATCTGACGGGCTAATTGTACCCAAGTCGATCAATGGATCGACCTGGGTACAACCAGCCTGCCCATAGATGGATAGGATCTCTGCCAGTCCTTGCTGAACCCGCTGAAATTCAATCCATCTATGCCAGGCTTTATGTATGATCATTTTACTACAGTTAAAATATCTTGCCACAGCAATTCAATCAGCATTGTTAGGTCCTTGTCACACTTGCCATTCTCCAGCAACAGGATCACTATGAAGGACACATTAGGAAGAGGAAATAGTCGCTTACATGTACTAACCCCTCAGTGTTGGATGAATGAAAAGTCACTTTCTTGCTGACAACTTACATCATGCAGCATTTTCAGCAGCAATGCCTTGCTGATCCAGCTGGTAGAGTAACATACAAGGCAAGTGAATGTTCTCGAACACTCCAGCAAAACTGTTATGGATGAGTTCTCATGTGTGCATTATTTTATTTCTAAACCTGAATTGGAAATAAAAATATTTGGGAACGGATTTGCTATGAGTAACAAAAAAAGTATTTGTTAGCCCAAAAGGAGGTGAAGAGACATGACTATCACAGCCCGGAAAGTACCTGAGACGTCCTCTTACAAAGAGTTCTCCTGGCATTTCTACAAATTTCCTCTGGGGACAGAATAATATAAGGTTCCACTTTCCAACCCGGATCAATGGGTGACCTGCAACTACAAAGAACAAAGCAGCAAGTTACAGGGCTGAAAAGTACATTAGGACCCTCAGACCCAGAAAGACTGAATAGAAGGTAATAGTAGATATACATTTTAACTATTTTCTTATTTACAAAACATTGATTTCAAAATCTTGCAAACAAAGCAGTGTCCAAATAAGTGTCAGTCTCATGCTATAGTGACCATCAAGTAATCAAACATCTGGGAAACCAACCCGTATTTGATCAGATGCTTTAAAATGTAGGGGAGATGTCAGGGGTCCTATAGACCACTGATGTCTCAATAAAGAGTACCTGTCACCTGCCCAAAGCTATCAAAAGGGGCTTGTTCAACTAGGTTTCATATGCATATGTAAATTGTGTGCTTTAACACACATGTGAGGTATTGCCATGAATGTCAGAGTGACAGCAATAATCCTAGCACCAGAGCTCACGTTTAAATCTAAAACAATAACCTGTAAAGGTTTTTAGAGCATCGCCTATGGAAAACTTTAGGAACCGTAGTTTGGCACCATTTCACAGATGTGAGCAATTTTAAATCTTGACGTTTAGTATCTATTTAACCACATACACTGTTGCTTAGTTCACGTGAAAACAATTTTTTCCATCCTGCTCCACTGAATTTTGCTGTCACTACAGTTGAAAACTGTAGGGGCAGTGACGTCACCACGCATCGGACTACTATCACGATGAGTACTGACGGAGTGATAACAGTCCTACGAGGCTGATCTTCACCACAGTCTGAGGTTTATTTGTATAACAGGCTTGT